TGTGTAAGATCTACTTCGCAGATCGACAACCTTTTAACGACCATACTAAAGACTGTATTCGAAAAGAGTCTCTTGAAAGGGTATAAGGATTACTACTAATACGTAAAAGTTACCTATTTAAACATTAAGTGTGCTTACTTTTCATCTTGCCTTGCAACCGTTTGTTGGCAAACACTTTGACTCATAATTTTCGAGAACATAAAGATACATTAATGTACTACGACTTATATTTGTAACTGTTAACCTATGTTTTTATCAATTATAAATAAACATAAGTTGAGCTAGGCACAGAGAGAGAGATAAGTTGAGCTAAATATTCGAACACAAATGATTTCACGTACAAGCACTTTAAATGGCAAAGTTGAAGGTCTTCCATATTTTACAATCTCTTGCAAATGTCATTAAAAAACTAAATGTAAACATTCGGAAATCTCTTGGATATTTATTTATGTAAGCATGATTTAAGTAAACGTATGAAATAAATAAAAACAATTGCTACAGAATATTCAATTAATAAGAAAAACACTGATGTAACTTCAACGAAGATAAAGATTTCAACATATCTTTCCTTTCACTGTATTAAGCCACACCAGAATTTGTAATCTAGAAAAAAAACTTAAAATTTTTATCTTAAATGAAATTCGAACCTAGTCCCTCGTGTTTCCTGTTACACTCTTACCAATAAGCAATTGAATCGTACATAAATTATGTAATCAGTCAAACTGCCGCGATTGTCTCGACGATAATAGCCGACATCGTTAAGTTATGAAATAGACAAATGTAAACAAACTCATGAGCATTGTGTTCGGAATGTGCCTTGTAATTTCGTATATATTTTGATGAGGCTTTAAAAGAAATCTGTGAGATATTTAAAAATGTATTGCCATTATCTGTCGCCCGAGACTCCGTCCGCGCGGAGTTAAAAAAAACATAATAACTAGCCAATATGTTCTTCCAAACTATGTGCTACATCTATGCAAAATTTCAACGAGACCCATGCAGCCGTTCTGGAGATACCTTCAAATAACCATCCATCCAAACATTCAGATTTGTATAATAATATTAGTAAGAAGTAAGATACATCACACAGATTTGTCTTTAATCCCACGTTAGCGAAGTTTTTTTTAACTATAAATTTGGTTCCATTTATTCCAAACATTATGTAACCAAATATAGTGTTGTAATCTCTTTTAGCCCAAAAGCTAATTTTTCTATTAAGAATTAAAGACGTTTTTAAAATCAACAGACTTGCAAATACTTTTTGTAAGGAAGTTATCATGTTTTGAATGTTTGTGTGGTACAGAACATGATTATACGGTGCAGACTCCCTTTGTCACATGAGAACCACTAAACAATGTTATGAAAATAAAAACAAATGTAAGACATGAATTATTTATTATATCAGCTTTAAAATAACACAATAAAGTTAGCAAAATCAGTCTTTATTTGACAATAGTTCTGATTATGACAACAACCATAAACAGAAAATGTTACCAGGAAATGTTTTTGTTCAAGTAATTGTTTTTAAACAGGTGTTTCAACAGTGGAAACACTGCGATTTGTTACAGCACACACATCACATAACTGCTAGAGACTTTAATTCAAATCTTGACAAAAAATACACATAATACAAAATTTAAATTCAAAGTAATGTTAGACTAGAATTAAAGCCTCCAAAGAGTTTTCACATATAGTAATATCATATATGTTGTTTGATGCTTTTGAAGCAAATAAAAAAACCTAATTAAGTAGTCAGCCTTAATTTAAAGATCTAGAATTTTGAAGAAGTATTCCACCTCTAGTAAACCGTCTACATCCAAATCGCTGCAATGTATTGCATTCTGCACTTTCGTTTTTCCTAATTTAGCTCTCAAAGTGTGAGGACGCAATAATCTTGCTATTTCCTAAAAAATAAAATACAATTAAATTTCAAATAAAAAAAAAATACAAATAAAATACAACACATTTTTTCTGTTGTGTAAAATATTAGCAAATGTTTCGTAATTAACTACATATTTTGTGACTAGTCCATCGAAGCTTTAGGCATATTCTAGGATAAGGTTCTCGACTATAGTCAAATGTCAGAATTCAAACCGACAACAATTTCAAATGTCCATACCACGGGCGTTGTGGGTTTCAATATTTACTTTTAATACATATAAAATGAAAGTGTTTATTAAATCATACATATTTATTAATGGAATATATCTACTAACAGGATCAGCGGGACCAACAAGTTTTCTGAACTCTACAGCGGTAACCACACTCTTGTCTTTGGCCACTATTTCCATAGCAACACATGGACCACTTGCTAACTCTTCAACCATACCCTGGAAATTAAAAATAGCATGCAAGGTTTATTTTAAATTTTTTAATACTTTAGTACAAACTAACATAACTACAAATTCTTAAATCCTCCTGATAGTTAAGTCGAACCAAAAAAATTCAGTCAAACATGGGTAAGCAAGAAATCTCTATAAGCAAGAGTCGTTATCTGATACCAACAACATCTATAAGCAAGAAACTTAAAAATTATCACAGTCCCTTTGTATTGCTATAAACATTTTCTTTTGTGGTTAACATGACATTTTATAAATAATTAAAATTAAATCTACAAATGCTATCAATCTATATGGTATGGAATTTATCATTAGCTCATTTTATGTCCCCACCGAGGGGCTCGGAGCCTACCGTAAGTTACGGGTTACTAGGCCATAGCCAACCAGGCTGGCCCAGTGCGGGTTGGTTGACTTCAAACTTATCATTGAATTTCTTCTCAGATATATGCAGGTTGCATCACAATGTTTACCTACACTATAAGAACTTCAGATAAATGTACATATGTAAATAGTATGGTATGGGATACAAACCTTATATTCTTGAACAATACCCTTGTACACTTCGTAAAACTCTGCAGCATTATCCATCTCTACTATAAACATATTTAAAGCCGTAACATCGAAACCTCCTTCGTCAATTATTTCTAATGCAGTGCCTAGTTTCCCTTCTCGTACCGCATGAGGTTTTACTATGCAAAGTGTACAGTTTGATAATGTCGCTGTAAGACGCAGTCTTGTAGCACGTATTGGTGGAGGAGGGAAAAAATACTCTATATCCTGTAACAAATTATTCAACAATAAGTATTGGTAAATGAATAAAAGATATTAAAAAAACAGATAAAAGATGTGAAAGGAAAGTTTTTCTAATGTGTACTTAAAGTTTGTCTGATTGTTCTTTTTTTATTGTTATGATTAAATATTATCTTAAAGTATTGGTTTTTTTTATACATAAAACTAAGTTAAATAAACATGACATATTTTATTAGATAAGGAATATAATTAGTACTCACTTGTAATGCACCTTCAGGGCTGGAAGCTGCATGGACACAATTTCTGACAGAATCAATTCCATACAAAGCTCTTATTGTACCGGGCTCTGCTTTCAATGGGTCTCTGTCTCCTAGCATTTTAATACAATTTGATACTGCTTCCTTTCCCACTAACTCCATACCATATACCAGCTGGCCACTGAGATGTTCTAGTAAAAAACTATAAAAAATTCACATTTAAATAAAATTTTACAGTTAAAACATAATATAGATGAAATTAATAATTAAAACATAATATAGATGATGGTATGGCAACTTACGGAAATGTTGAATCACCAACTAAAGATCTATAAAGTACATGTATATCTTCAGCAGTTAGTCTGGCTTTTTTCATTTTCGATATTCGTAGACCATGGTCATATAAATGCGTTATTATCTTACCCACAATATTAGTCGCCATCGGTTTGATCATTGCAAAGGTACTGTAGTAATAAAATTATTTATGAATAATATAAGAATACATTTATTTTTATAGCTACAGATTATTCAATCAATACTTACACTTGCACATCTTTATGTAATAATTTTCTAGTATCTTCGCAAGCAAAATCTATAATTTTAATTAATCGTCCTAATATGGACAATGTACACCCAATGTAAAAGTTTTCCAAATTGATTCCGTTAACTTTTACTCTTCTCACAAACGTTTTCCGGTTTTTTAAATCGTACATTTCTAATGTATTATCAACAGGATAGTAGAAAACATTGAACCGGCGAATAAGGCAAGCTTGATTATCGTACCATTCTCCAATAAAAGAATATTTGTCACTGTAAGCGCCCTCCTAAAAGTAAATTTCACAGGGTATTATAAATTAATTACACAGTCCCACATAAGTATTAAAATTCAGCACAGAATTACCATTGTTTAACATGAATATGTAAAACTACAAAACACCTTATCGATAAAACTAAAATAACCGTCAACAAAACGTAGTAAAATTGAAAACATGTCAAAGCCTCAAAATTTCATTGTTGTGAAGTTGTCAAAGTGAAGTTGTCATGTCATGTGTGGCCATTAATAAAATACAGTAAAGTTTTGTCTAATATTTAATTTTCTATTGCTAACGATTTTCTTATTATGTAGACCTTTGTATTTTAATAATTGTAGTAATTATACAACGCTGCGTGCTTTTTTAATATGTCAAATTATAATTCTTTTATGATGATTAACTAGGCAATTCATTTGACAATTCAGCAGGGATGTGAGTAAATTCGTTTATGAATCTTTTCAATTTACCCGTCCATTATTTACGGCTTTTGTTTTCATACAAAATTAATTTGATACTTAATATGCGTCAGGTGTCAGTCTAATCATAATAAAACGGAAACCTGTAGAAAGTTATCCTAAAATCAATTTCACATTTCTTATTTACGTCGTATTTAAAAACCAAATAAATCAAATAAAATTGTCGTAATATAAAATATTTTATAAATAAGCTATAATACATTTTTTAAAATGGTGAGTTGGGTATATTAAACATAGAATTTGGCACGTGGAAAACAAGAGCACACTCATGGCCAACAGATGCCAACTTAATTACCGGGTACTCATAGCTCGTAGCATTATAAAGATTCGTCGTTATCTGAGCGGACTAGTGACTCAGCTCATATATTAGGTCACAGGATTAGGTGTGACTAGGGGTAGGTCAACTACGCTGACGTTGGTTAACTTCACAGCGAATCGCCGATATTTGTAGTACATCATAATGTTTACCTTTACCTTAAGTCCCTTAAATTTTTGATGTACATATCATAGCGGGGAAAAAACCGGATCAGTAGAATTAGAAGTCCGGTACTTAACTCCCGAACCACCGATGCCTAAAATGAGGTGTTCAGTTCAGTATTCAATGGGAATACAGAATTTAATTTAACTCTATTAAGATTTTATCCTCGGAAGTTAAAAATTAGGAAAGTATATTAATATTAATTACAAAACCTCATTATTTTTCAGCCTCCCGATTATTTTGATAAATATACCTTTTTATGCGAAATGTACGACGAAGATGCGGATGAAATTAAGGAATTAACTTTAAATTTCTTTCCTTTTGATAATTCCGTACAAGTTATCGATTCGAAAAAAGGGAAAAATTTACTAAGACGAGTACATCTTCCTCCACTTAAAATAGAAATGCTTCAGATTGGTAATATCATTAACATTTTTTCCAAATTACTGCATATTATTGACTGTGCACCGGCTACTCGAAGAATTCTATTTGATAATGTTCAAAGGTTAGGATACATTTTGTTAGACAATATCATAAATAAGTGCCGACATAAAACTATAAATTATTTACAGTACATTTGCAATAATTAAGCCAGTACCACCAAGCGAACACGGAAAAATTATAACGTTCATAATGAAGAAAGGCTTTCGTATTGTTCGAATGAGAAACGGTAAAATAACTAAAGAATTTGCTTTAGAACTTTACTCACATTTGTCTGGTAGCCATATGATGCCGTAAGTATACAATTTTGCATGCAATCTGCATAATTTATATTCCTAATCTTTTAAGCGGCAGTTAAGAAAGAAAGTGAAGAGTTTTAATTTTAAGGAAATAGTTAATAATTCTTTCTTCCTAGACTCTGTCCTACTTTTTGCCTAAATATTTAAAACTAACTAAGCATCAACTAAAACATAATTTCAGCATTATAATAGACTATGTAACTGGTGGAGAAATAATAGGTTTGGAATTGGTTGCGCCTAACGCAGTTGCTAAGTGGCGTGAGTGGTTAGGAAGTACCGATCCTGCGACTGCAGCGCCGGGCACTTTGAGGCAGCTGTACGGGGAAAACAAACTGAAAAATGTTGCACACGGCTGCCAAACGCTGGAAGATGCAAATCGTGTATGAGCATTAGCAAAACATAATTTTGTTCGATTTTTTTTTATAAGACCCCTTCTCTTACACAAACGAACAGCGGGAACATTGAAATGTTCTTCGACGCCCGTGAACATCTGGAATACCAGAGGAACCGCATATGCGTTGCCATCCTTTGGGATGAAAAGTAAACTCTAAAAGTGGGTTTCTAGAGTCGCTATACCTGTACAAAAACATATATTGTTATCTCTATTTACTCAAAGAAAACAAGAGATCATACTTGTATGTGTGTATCGTGCTCACAATAAACCCTTACTTTTCTATCGGTTCCTATGCTTTAAGTTCTATGGTATACATAGTAACCACAAAATATAACTTATTACGAAATTGTTTGAGGAGTTTCCATTCTCTAATCGCGTATTTCGTAGGTGCATTTGCAAAACATAATTTAGTTGGAAGCGTGAAATGTATTTTTTATAGGTCTTATTTCTGAAATCTATTCAGTTACTTATCATTTCTTTCTACTATTCTTTAGATGCTTGATTTATATTTTGGATATGAGAATGGTGTACCAAGAGTACCATATAGAGCAACGATGAAGGAATGCACTTGCTGCATCATAAAACCCCACGTCATAATCGATGGCAACGTCGGATCAATTCTTGAACAAATTAGTACTTCAAAAAATTTCTACATATCCGCTATAGCTATGTTTTCTGTTAGTTTACTAAATGCTAAGGAATTTTATGAAATATACAAAGGTGTTTTACCCGAATATGAGGTAAGAATAAAATCTTGTTTCTACAATTTTCTTTAATTTTTATTGTACACACAGTTCATATAATTCAATTGCGAAAAGTTATAAAATGGCGAGCTTACGTTTGCGTTATCTACCAGCTAACAGTTCTTAAAGACAGAGACCTTTACATAAGTGGGTAGAAGAGTACAATCTTATCAATTAACTTTATGATTAGAGATTTCATTAGCAGGTTTGTAAGCAAACAATTGTTTTAAAATTGTGTTGGATTGATTGCGTAAAAGGCGACATGATTAGGATAGTTACCACTGAATGGCGAATGATAGATTAATCTGGACATAAATGTGATGTACCTATACAGATGATGAGGATTATAGGGGATGTTATGTCATTTGCAGAAATCAATACTCGTTATTTCCCATAAGGCGCCAGTTTTAGCATAATGTGGACCTAGATCTTGGATTGACTAAAATCCTAATTAATCGAAATTATTCTTCATTACAGGCCATGTGTATTCACTTAGCTGAAGGCAGTTGTATTGCCCTGGAAGTAAAATGTAACGATACGAAATGTTGCGTTGTTACCGAATTTAGAAAATTATGTGGCCCAAGAGACCCTGTAAGTAACTATATTTTTTAATTATGTATTAGCATAAACCCCACAGTATAGATCTGTGGGTAAAATAAAGCCTTAATACACATAATTTAACAGTGGTAGACTTCAGCTGTTGCTGGACTTGCCTATTGCACCACACAGAAGACAAGTGTCAATTGGAAGTAATTCCATGTTTTGTTCAATGAGTGTGCATGTCTGAAGCCTAATTTTAGTCCTCTTTCCTTGTAATAAAAGGTTGGGAAGGGGAAGATTTGATAGACGAAAGGACACATAGAAATTTTTTTTCTCTTTTTGTGCAACTCCTCCACCAATTAGAGGTAGGCAACACTACTGTAATTTTGGATATGTACGGGTAGTGGTCACTGTTTCAAAGAATTTCTGCTTGCTCTTGTCGCCTTATAAAAAAGCTAGATAATGTTCCATAAAGTTTTATTTCTCTATTTCAGGAGTTGTGTCGCCAGTTATATCCAAACTCAATCAGAGCACAGTATGGAAAGTCCATTTTACACAATGCAGTACATTGCACAGATCTTCCAGAGGAAGGGGAACTAGAAGTTGAATACTTCTTTAAGTTACTTGCTTTTAATTAACTTCTTTTATGCATTATTTATTTTTATAAATGTTCTTTATACAAAAGTCATTGCCTTCAATTTCAATTTTTTCATACATCCATTTTCTATTTATTCTGAAATGTAACAATATAGACCCTCATTATGTAAAGTACAAGTAATTCAACCTAGAGATGGTACATATATTTGTATTGTTTTTCAATCAAACAATAAACCAAGATTTTCTTTTTAAATCATTATCAAAGATACAGTTTGTTTCATCAAAGAGAACTAATTTAGTTTAAAGAATAAGCTTGATATAAAAGATCGCATGATTAAAAACTGGGATGGTGGGAGTGCAAAAGTTTCGATAGATAATGGATTAATAAGCAGCAAATACCTGCACTCTGTGCCACATTTTGTTGATGTACATTTTGTACAAGGAAAATGGCAACCAGGGCATTTTTCATCCAAACAATCGCAAAGGTCTCTGCCTGTAGCAGCTATCTGCCCTCGTTCATTGTAAATATTTTTATTACGACTGAAAAAGTAATGTGTTATTGACGAAACACTATTTATTATCATGACACCTTCACTTTATACACTTACTTCATAAAATAGCTTTTCCGATTAAGTTTTCTTCTTTCACGTGCAGATGTTTCGGGATCAAAATCGTGAAGGAAGTGCATTTCAAGTCTATAAAATTGCAATGCGTATTAGAATAGAAGGAGCTATACAACTATATGTAGGTAAGCCCTGAGCAGAGCACAAAGAATAGCGATAAATAATGTGCTTTGTACAATTGTGAGTAGAAAAATAAATAATAATAGACATTAACTACTTAACATAAACATAAACAAGCATTAATTGAATCGTTAATTACCAAATCGGCAATGGCAAATCGACAGTTGACTTAGACTTGACAGAAGGTAATATTTTTCAGTTGTCAACTTGACATTAGTCACAGATAACATATACATAGGTAAGTTAGCAACAGCAGGCGCTGCCGGCCGCTCGTAAAAATTAAGCCAGATGGGCACCACAACCGCAAGCCACAACTATAGGGAGGCCAATTTAATAGGTCAGAGTTATGCAAATCGAATTGTGTTTTTCGTTCGATTTTTTATAACATCAGAAAGTTCCATTTGTTATCAAAGCAACACCGGATCAGTTTTGTGTGGTTGTTATGATTATTGTTATGTTGTACGCTGTCTATGTTACCAGGTCATAAAATAAAAAAAAAATTGCTTTTGACACTTGTCATTTTGTTTTTGTCATTTGTAAAAAGTCATACAAATAGGTTATAAAAATACTAAATAATTTAGTCGTTTTGATCGTTAATTTATAAAATGGCTGACGTAGGAAATAGAGACCAATCGATAACTAAAGTGCCAATGATTTACGTATGTGGTGGTAAGTATTTTACATTTTATTCTCGTTATTTTGAAGACGAGGTGGTCAATTGTAAGCATGAATATATCTTGCGTATGTAAACAGCATTTGCTTTGCAAGTTACTTCACCAACAAGTTAATAAATGTTAAATGTTTATCATGAGATAGTGTTAGTTGAATCTGGACCTCCAATTGATGAATATTTATCAATTCAATCAATCAATATTTACACAGATTTATTCTTCTTTCAGAGTGCCACAAAGAAAATGAAATAAAGCCGAGAGATCCAATACGATGCAGGGAGTGCGGTTATCGTATCATGTACAAAAAGAGAACAAAACGATGTATCCTTTTCAATAGTGATAATTCTATTTAAATTAATCATATAGTTTACAGTAGCCTGGCAAATCGTTTCTGGTCTTAGAATGGAAAATAAATTATTTTTATTGAAAAATTAAGTCAAAATCATAATTGTTACTATAAAAAATTTATTATTAATAATGTGGTAATAAGATCTTTGAGAAGTGTTTGGTTTGGAAATAATGATATTAGGGAAGAATGTTTTATAGAAGAGGATGAGAGTACAGTAGAGAAAGGTATGGTTAGACTGTTTGAACACATTGAGAGATTATTTATGACACAAAAGTGAGTAGAGCCAGGAGAGGTATGTCAGAACCAAATGTAGGTCCATGGCCTCTGCCCTCTGGGTTTCGGCCAAAAGTTAAGGTGTGCAGTTGCGTGTGTCTATGGGCAACGGTCACTTTGCTACGTTAGCGATTTCAGGTAGCCGCTCGCTCGTTTGCTACCTTATGATATAAAAAAAAAATCTGCATTTCACCCTCAATATTTTCCTTAATGACAAAAACAGTGGTTGTTTTTGATGCGCGGTGATCCAGAGAAATAATACAAAAGTGTCATATTTTTAATAAATTTTAATCTTATTGTTATAAAATATCCATCCATAATGTATTATAAACAATAAATGGGTAAATATTTGACATGTTTTACTTTAATTTTTAACATCAAGGTACAGGAATCAAAATTAAAAACTTTTACAATTAATTTTTAATCCTAACCCTAGCTCATATTTAACACAGTTTTTATTTTCAAAATTTTGATATGATATAACAATTTAACAAAGAAAATTATGCATCACTATAATATATATGCATTAAGTATAAATTCCCCTAATATCCATAACACATTTTCCTTCGCTTACTAGGAATGTACAATAAGCAAAAATGTAAGCACCACTAAAATGTCTATTATATTACCAGTAACTAAAGTTTTGAGAGTGATGTAAAAAAAAATCTACCCTAAAAGACCACATAACAAAAATGGCCTGAGAAAAAACAAAAAAAAGGTTTTTTTTTGAACCGACAATTATATTTATTACAAAAAGGTACATCGTAAAACTTGTGCGACTACTACGACCCATGTTCATATATATATCGAAATAGCAATCGCGCCAGTGGAAAAGGGGTCTAAAAGTTTTTTTTAATATTACACTCACAATAATGAGTACTACCAAAACAGGTTGATACACAACAATATGCATTTTGAATTTGGTTTTTTATAAGAAAACAATAACCATATACCCTGGTCATTTGTTTTTGTAATATTATTTATTCCTATCCATTTTATTGAAGCTTGATTTATACCAAAAGTTTACTATTAATACTTATTCATTAATTTAAACACTTTGCTTTTGAAAATGAATACAAATATCTTATTATATATTATAATAGTTGCCCTAAAAAGTTGTAAATATTCCATTTATAACATTTTATTATTAGAAAAAACTGATGCAATCTCAGTTAAATTTTGACTTGAAATATAAAAAAAATTAAAACATTGAATTGTTTTAAAGTAATATTAAAGTCCATGAGAAAATAAACTAACAGTAGATTATAGACTTTTTGTGGCACTTGAAAATAATTATCAGAACATGTTATTTTTATATTTACGCTATTATTGAACATTGAAAATAAAGTTAAATCTGTAAAATAAGGTAGAATTTCAATCATAAAAGTAGATATAAAGTTGTTCAGGCTGGTATTCAATAAAAAGATTGTTAATAGAAAACAAATAGGCATAAATTATAGAAAACATCAGCATTTTATTCCATTGTTTTCTTTTATGCCTGTTATGAATATTGTAAATAGTTTTAAAAATCGAATACAAAAGATATAAGATTTGTATAGCATAGTTTACATTACATAAAACATTATAAATATTTCTGAATGAAGTTTCAACCAATAAACTTCTTATTACATCACTAAGTGCATTTTTACAATACAAACAGTATTTTTCCATTACATTTTATAAAATCCTACACCCAAATATATTAACAAGGAGTGAAAATATTTCACATTTTTTATCAGTGACGCGTCACATTTTATCATTCGACGTTTAAAAATTTCACCTCAAGCATACCCATTTACTGATTAACCTTTGGTTACTTACATTTAGGCCGACTTTTATACTATAGTAAATAAAAACTAAAAATAAAATGTTAAACTTATCTACTATTTACAAATAGTTAAATAGATAAGTCGATACAAGATTTACACAAGTCAAATATTCACCCAAATGAAGAGTAATTATAAAACAAACTTCTAGCACAAGTTCTATTTTCGATATGGAAGACTCTTCAAGGATTTAATGTTTATCTAAATTTCTTTTGTGGAAGTTGATATGCCAATTGTTTAAAGATAAACGATATTGGAAGTAGACATTACTCATTGTAAATGTACAATGTAAATACAGAATATATTTTATAAAAATACATACAAAAGTCTAGTTACTGTATCTATTAAGTTTTCACTACTGTTAAAGATTTTGTAATATGTTTCATTGATATTTCAAACATACGTATGGACCACAAAATGTTACTGTATGTAAATTTTTAGACAAGATTGAATGGAAGCTTTTATCCTTATTTTGAATTATAAAGAAAATTCAACAACTCTATACTACTTATTCCATTAGACCTATTTGTTACAATCGTGATACGTAAGCCTTGAGATGGAAGCAAATATAACAATATTAAATTCACTTAAACATGAGATAATATTTACATACAATTTCACAATAGTATAGAAATAAACATACAAATATGTATACAATTAAAGCGCATCAATTTGTTTTCACACAATCTGAGTCAAACCCCAGTATGAATTACACTTTTCAATAAAAAAATACAGGAAAAAAAACAAAATTGCACATTAAAATTCCTACTTATAAATAATTTTGGCACTAATTATCTGTGGCACTATAATTAATTCTTGTTTCAACGTCTTGACCGTCACTATGATCCATTGTTTTCATCTCACTATCCCTCTCATTGTCACAAGCGTTGTCCGAGGGCACTGCGCCGTCCTCATCCTCGGAAGACTCCCTGCCAGCAGGAGGCATCACCGCAGCACCGTTAGGTTCCCGGTACTCTAATTTGGTTGGGTCCTTCTCGTGCAACTTACGAGCGAGTGACTGTAAACTTGCCAAAGAGCTCGCACAATCCGTCGTGTCTATGTCTGTTAAACTTACGCCAGCGCGTTCGATCTCCGTAAATGTACCAAAGGGAAGTTTAAATAAACATTCAAGCCTCATTACATGCATTTTACTCCTCAAATGCTTAGCTAAATGACCATGTATTCTGAAAGCGATATTACAATCTGAACAGCGGAATGGACGAGGATTGAATGATGTAGCCGTTCCAAACGTCGAGGTCATCGAAACCTTATTATGGTGTGAACCAGATCGTTCATGCTTTTGCAGATGACCTCTAGTTCTAAAACTCACCGCGCAAACACTGCATCGAAAAGGTCTTTCCATATAGTGTATGTTTAGGTGCAACCTTAACTGAGATGGCTTAGTGAATGTTTTGTTACAAAAGTCACACACTCTCCTACCATCTTCCATTAATCTTCCGGGTGAATATGGAGCTCCCTCAAACTCTTTCCCCTTTGTTACTTTAAATGCGACTCCTCCAGCACCAATTACAACTTTTCGAGCAACAGGCTCATGATCTACGGGTGGCATTTTTAACGATTCTGACTCCGACATAGTAACATCATCGTTTTTCGACTTTTCCTCAGTGTTCATTTTACTGCTATTGCTTTCGTCACTGGAGTTATCATTTTGATTTTGGTATGTTTCATCGCGATTCTTAATAAGATTAATTCTAGCGTGTTTAAGATACTCAGAGACAACGTGCTTGGCGTTTTCAGAATTATTATTAGGAGTTCTAGCCCGTTTAGGTTCTGTACTATAACTTACAGAATGCGATACATCAATGGAGGCTCTCGGAATATCTTCTTTAGAAATAGGTAATGACTTCACTCCACTTTCGCTACAACTCGATACGATCGGTTTTGAGATGTTTACTTGTGATGTAATTGGTGTCGTAATGTTATTACTAGTGAGACCATTGTTGCTTTCCGATATCTCATCAGCGTCAATGAACGGCGATTTATCTATGTCTAT